GATTGTAGAGTAATATCCAAGGATTTTAGGAAAATTAGTCTCACTGTTGGCAAAATTGGCGGAAGTTGTGTAATTGACCTCTGAAATGTTCATGAAATGGAATTATTTTTCCCTGAAAAATATCATGATATTTTGATAAATATCATCATATCTGCTCACTAGGAGATATGAAGTCTGTTGAGTCTATTAAAAAAAGTAGTACACATATATTTACAACTTTCTCAGCCTTACATCATCTTAAATCAGCTGCCAGCAGCAAACTTAAAATATTGATGTTTTTTGGCAAAATTAATAGGCATTCTACATTTTAACTCAAATGAGTTATTTTTTTGTTTAGTAATAAATAAGTGAAGTAACCTAAAAAAGTTACTTTAAAAATAACTTGATTCCATCATGCCCATGACTGATAAGATTACTTGACAATTTATTCATGAATTTGGGTCAACCCATGTACCCTCCTAGAATAAGGAATGAAAATCATTCAAAGAGATGGACCATTAAACTATTTGTATATATTCACATTTTTTTTTAATGTCAAACCAAAGTATTAGACTAGTTTGCATACATGAACAAACAGGGGTCTGGGAAGGGGAAGGGGCAAGGGGAAGGAGTTATCTCTTTATGTCTTAATTGTTGAAAACTCCTAAAATGAATGTTAACCTCAAATCCGACTTGTACGTCTTCATTTTTTTGAAGTGGTGGTGTCTCCGTATGAGTGAAAAATTCCCAAGAGGGACATTTAACAACAAACAAACATTAATGACTTAAAAAACACAATATACATGTACATGTTTATTAGTCAACGGATATACTTCTGATCATATCTCTAGTTCTCCCTTGAATCAGAAATGATGATATCAATATTTTGAGAATGATTAAGAGTTGAAAAGGTTGTGCATTTTAAAACTCACTAAGCTCTGTGGTTGAATTAGCTATACCAGTTTAGCTTATTTTGCTACTCAAAGCACCTTGATTAACTATTTTTAATCATACTGTTTTCTGAAATGTGAAGTCATACCTTTTCAGCTTCTGAAAACAATGCATAAAAAAAAAACTGCTTTTCAAATACTGTAACTCTTTCCAAGTACTTGTGATCATCAGTTTTTAGCTCACTTGAGTTTTTCTGGTTTTCTGATCACATTTTGTTTGTCATCCATCTGTCCGCCTGTAAACTTTTCACATTTTTGTCTTCTTCACTAGAACCGCTGGGCCAATTTCAACCAACCCTGCCACAAAGCATCTTCGGGTAAAGGGGATTCAAGTTTGTTCAAGTGAAGGGTCACACCCTCTTTCAAGGGGGGATAATCAAGAATTAGTGAAAATTTGGTGGTAACATTTTAAAAAAGTCTTATCAAGAACCACTGACTTGGCCCAAAAAGTTGAAACTTTCTTTACATAGACTTAGTGTAGCTTCAAATTTGTTAAAATTATGACCCACTGGGGTAGGGTGGGGCCACATATGGGGATCCAATTATTAACATAGAAAAATGCAGGGGATTTTTTCCATCATAAATCTCCTTCTCATGAACAGCAAGGGCATTTTTGTCGTCCGTTTTCGCAAAAGGGACCTAGGGGACATTAAATCTCATTTGTCTGTCAGTCTGTCCGTTTGTCAGTCTGTCCGTCTGTCACAATAAATTTAACCTTGGTCATAACTTCTGAATAATAAGAGATAGGGTTTTCATATTTCACATGTACATTACCTACAAGAACTTTCTAAACATACCATGATTTTTGAACCCATGACCTTGAAGTTTGACCTACTTTTCAAAAAATTTAAAATTATTTTAAATGATCATTTTGAAAGAGAAAAGATAGGGCGTTCATATTATACATGTATATATTACCTGTGACAAGACCTTTCTAAATATATCATGACTTTTGACTCTGTGACATTGACCTTGAAGTTTAACCTACTTTTCAAAAATGTTATATTTCCTTATAACTTTTGACTGAGAAGAGATAGGACTTTTATATTTGAAATGTACATTACCTGTAACAAGATGTTTCCAAGCATGCTATGATTTTTTTACCCCTTGACCTTGATGTTTTACCTAATTTTCAAAAATTTTAACTTTGGTGATTACTTTTGAATGACATATGATAAGGCCTGCATATTTGAAACAATATGTCATAAATAATGGCATCCTATCCACTAGGACACGGAAAGCAGGGGACCACAATTCTTTGAATTTGCTTGTTAGTCATTTTGATATGGAAACATCCTCATATAGTGCAGATTCAAGTTTTTTATGCCCTGCCATGAATATGGCTGAGGCATATAGTGTTTGTCATGTCCGACTTCAATAAAACATCATATGCTGATACATACTGATGTAAGCTTTTCAACTGCATCAAAATTTTTGACCTTGACTTTTCCTTTGACCTTGACCTTACTTTTCTTAAATTAGTGTCTAGATCAGTTTTGAATAAACAATTCAAGATATATTTATCAAACTTCATATGCTGATATATACTGCTGAGAGATATCAATTGCATCAACTTTTTTGACCTTGACTTTTCCTTTGACCTTGACCTCACTGTTTTAAATTAGTGTTTATCTATGTTTTTAATAAACCATTTCTGATATTTTTATTGAACTTCTATGCTAATAGTAAATACATACTGATATAAGC